AGGTAGCAGACGGACCGCAGACGGGATTACCGGCAGATTAAACAGTTCAGCTGTGTCTGTTCGCTGTCGGTGTGTACCGTGTGCGTATTTGTGTATATACCTGGAGGCATCAGAGCAGACCAGAGCGCCGAGATAAGACCTGTGTGGATGGATTTAATGCAGCTGGTATGTCAGGGTGTGTGGGTAGTTCTGCACCATGTGAGGACAAAGGGATTTGGAGATGAGCTTTTCTCTCTCCTCTCTGCATAAACCTACACACAACTTAGTTTCACTTTGCAAATGGTTGGAAACACCACATGCAATTAAATTAGTATTTTTGGTCATATTTGTTGAACGTTGAGCACCAGGTGTTTTACATGGAGGTTGTATGTTTATGAACTTAACTGCCAACAAAAAAAAAAAATCTGAAAAGCTGAGAAAGTGTCTTTGTCAGAGTTTAGTTCAGTGTTTCAAAGCAGCACTGATTAGTTGCTATCGAAAATCAAATTTGTTATCCCTCTTTCTGCTTAATGCTTGATTATAAAAATCATCAGAAGTGTATTTTAATTATTGTTTTCTCAGTATGTCAAAGGTTAAACATGGTTTCCTGCACATATTTTTTTTATATCTCCATCTCTCTCTCTGCGGTCCTTTTGTTCTTATTTTCTTTATATATCAGTGAACATGTAGGTAAAATGTAAACTCTCCTGGTATAATAGACTTTTTTTTTTTTGCCCGGTATCCACTGATGTTCATGTAGCAGTAAAGTCCTTGCTCAGATTCACAAGCACCTCTCACTCCTTTGTGTGTCTTTTCAGTCGCAGTCTTTGTCGTTGCTTTCGGTCTTTGTGATTATATTACACCTCTTGCAATGTTTTTTTTTTTAACTCTGTGGTTTCATTTTGACTCTAGATTTGTGTCTGTACGTGGTTGTTTTGCATCTCTTTGTGGGCGTTTTGTGTCTCTTTGTGATCTTTTTTTGCCTTTTTGTAGTAATTTTCATGTCTCTTTGCAAGTTTTGTGTCTGTCTGTGGTTGCTTAATAACTCGCTGTAGCTAATTTGTGTATCTTTGGGTCATTTTTTATCTCTTTGTGGTCATTTTTTGTCTCTTTGTGGTCATTTTGTGTCTCTTTGTGGTCATTTCTTGTCTTTTCATCGCCCCTTGTGCCCCTTTATGGACGCTTCATGTCTCTTCAATTTTATTTTATTGTATTTTATTTTACTACCCTTGTTTTTGTGGACCGTGTACTAAAAACATGATTTCTGACATGCATTTATAGCCACACTCATTTTTCTGTGGGTCAACAGTAAAATCCGTGACATGCATTACACTGTTTCTGCACAGATCCACAAGTGAGATGCTGCTGCCACGGTAACAGCGGCTCATTTACTTCTACAATAAACCGCTTTTTTTTTTTTTCAGCGCACTGACTTTAACTGGACTGCTGCTAAGGGGAAGGACAAATAAACTGGAAGCATCGCATCTATTGGTGTTCGCACTCAGCCGGCCTTCACCCTGATTTATTTTGGCACCCATCGTCATTAGCGTCAGGCTCACTGGTGCTAGCAGATAAATATCACCATGGCTCTGTGACCCATCAGTGCCACCACACCGTCCAATCACGCCTGCACACACACACACACACACACACACACACACACACACCAGAGCTGATTCCTCATTACTTTACCGCGAGCCGGCGTCGACAGCAGCCACCACTGCTCTGCTGATTCAGCCGGCTGGGAATGTGTACGCGCGTGTTGTTTGAGCTTTTCAGTGGGAGCGAACCTAAAAAGCAAATATTCCATGATTGCATTATTGCACTGAGGGCTTTTGTCCTCTGAGAAGGCAGTAATTGCCTGTTTACATCGTCCACACTAGGACGGAGCGCTGAACTGCATTATTAAGGAGCAGCTTTAGCAACAAGGTTATCAATCACACTGTGTGTGTGTGTGTGTGTCTGTGCATGGTTAATCATGCATGTACAGTGTTGTGTGTGTGTGTCTGTGTGTGTGTGTGGAAGGTGTAAAGGCATCCCTCGCCTCTCTCTATCCTCCCCTCGGCGTTTGAAGGTCATGGCTGTCTGTTGGGGCTCGTTACACTAACAAGCTCTCAGCTCGCTCCCCAGGGTTCCGTCAATGGATCAGGTTCAGGCCAATAGAGGGATTACAGTTCTCATACAGCGATACTGGCTGGATCCGCGGTCAGCGGCAACCTCAGCACGCTCCATTCTTTAATTTTTAACCAGGATTTTAAAAAAATCAACCGTCTCCTTCTCTCTTCTTTGCTTTGATGCTCCACTGACATGTGAGATGAGAGGAGGAGAAGACGAAGCCGAATCGATTCCTGAAGGGAGGAATGACCAGAGCAACGAGAAAGGCTGTAATAGATATAAAGAAAAAAAAAATACTGACAGTCGCAAACAACATCCTCATTTTGCTGATATTGTGTGCACTGGCCAGAAAGCAGAGACAGATTCACGTGTTTGTGGTCGACAGATTTGTCAGCGCACGAGCAGGTGTGCAGGCGAGCAAATATGGATTCTGACATTATCAGCTTTACACAGCAGATGTGCAAATTTGCAGCCTGTACTGCTGCCAAAACGTACAGTGTAGACACAGGCAAACACACACACTCAGCTATGTATGTCCAGAGGTCTAAATGTGTAGAACTGGCGACTGGCTCTGTATCACTAAACAAACAGTGAGATTATGGACTGACATGTAAATCAGAGCCAGACTGACGTGACATTTTATGTGTCTTCGCATTAGTTTGACGTCTCTGTGGTCATTTTGTTACTCCTTTTTGTCTGTTTTGTCATAATTTTGCATCTCATTTTGATTACTTTGCATTTCTTTTTCCTCTTTGTGCCTCTTGTTGGTCATTTTACAGCTGACTTGGTTGTTTGGTGTCTTTGTGCTCATTTTGTGTGTCTTTGTGGTTGTTTTGTGTCTCTCTGTGTAGCATCTTTTTGCTGTTTTTGGCTCTTTGTGGCCATTTCTTTTCTCTCTCTCTTTGCGTTTGCTTCTTGTTCCTTTGCAGTCACTTGGTTGTCATGTTAGGTCTTTTCTTTGTGCCACTTTAACCCGAAACACCTACTTTCATGCTTAGCTGTTTTTACGACAGCCTCTTTTCTAAATGAGGCTATTTACATTTCCACTACATAATCTGTCGTCCACACTGGTGTACCGTTTTCATTTCTGGGGATGTGAATGGCAAATCAGCTTTGTAACTTGACTGCTAGGTTTCTTGATGGGAATGTACTGAACAAAAAAATGTATCCAGAAGTGTGAACGTGCGTCATTTGTTATTGTCATTATCAGCTCTCCTGATGGCAGGAGCACATGTTCATCCATGAACATGAGGCCGATGACGTGTGGCATAAACTGCCATTAAATCCTTGGCTTACTCGTTAGTGGTTCGTTTCCTTTCCTGACGATCCTGTGCCGTCCTTCAGCGCTTTTCCATCCACGGTAATTGAAAAGAGTGTGTTGGCGGAGGCGGAGTATTGCGCTGGCTGCTCCCACTGAGCCGCTGCCAGCAGCTACTGCTCTGTATCGAATTGTGTAAAGAGCTGAGATCCAGCCAAACAAACGCTGAACTGTGGCTTTGCCCTTGGCATATAGTCACTCTCTCATTATTTATCCCTGTAGCTTTCTGCTTCCCACTTGCAGCAGTTGGTTGTTTAAAGTGACGCTTCCAAACTCGGCGTTCCTACGGAGGTGCAGGGAGTAAAGACTAAGGAGTTAAATCTCAATCTTGCACCAATCACAGGAGAATAATCCCATTAATGTGTCAATACGATCAATTCAGTGCTATTATCCTGCAGTTACCACATGTGGCCACAGTGGCTGCTTTGATGTTGTGTGGCTCTATTAACTCTCTAAAGCCCCAGAACCGTCTGGGTGGTTACCGCTGCTGTCACATTTTTACTCACTGTGGGTTTATTATTTACTGCAATATAAAGTCCTGCACCGCTGGGAAAACAGTACGACCATGACGAGAAGGAAGAACTAGAAAACGTCCTCTGTGCAGTCGGACATAAGTCATATAAAAACAAAAAAGCTAAGTTTCTTTAACTATTGATTTTACAAATAATAACCGATAATCAACATTTACAACATCTGTCCAAGTGCCCCCAGATGTTTATAAACACTGTAAAAATAAAAAAAGAAGAAGAAGGTGACAACATATAATAGATATTTACCTTTTGTTTCCATACATGTCTCTAATCTGCTGCGTGTAAACAGGCTTGTTGCTGACTTTTTCTCACCTGACCGCTGAGTTAGTTCTGGCTTCATGTTGAGCCCAAGAGCACAGAGTTCACTTACACAGTCTAGACCAGGGGTGTCCAATCCTGGTCCTCGAGGGCCACAGTCCTGCATGTTTTAGATGTTTCCTTCTTCCAACACACCGGATTCAAGTGATCAGGATCGTTATCAGGCTTCAGCAGAGCTTGATGATGAGCTGATCATTTAAATCAGGTGGAAGAGGGACACATCTAAAACATGCAGGACTGTGGCCCTCCAGGACCAGGATTGGACACCCCTGGTCTAGTTAGTGCAAACAGTTTATTTCTGGCCACATTTTTATATGAGACATGTAGAGTAAAGTGATTTTGATAATGTAGAAATATTACAAATAATTTAATAAACAAATATTTTAATTGTAGATTATGTTATTTTAAGAAACAGCACAGAACAGATGAGGAGATGGTTCCTGTCTCTGATAAATGTCATTTTGGTGATTTTTTTAAATAGATAACATGTCTTCCCAGCCTGTGGTGTGTTATTGGGTTCAGAAGGTTAACCCATTATCTGTCAGCACAAAATGAACCTGAGCCAGAGGATTTATGTGACCGAGGACTGGAGTCAGGATTTATGCCTTGCTGCTGCCATAGTGGACAACAATTGATGCTGCGCCCTGACAAACTGATTAACCTGTCGGAATTCTCTTTTATGACGGAGCTGGTCGGTTTGTAAATCCTCCGTTCTTACCGTTGTGTCCTCTGTTTTGCAGTCATGCGGAGGAACCCCTTTGTGGTGGATGGCTGCTGTAGGAAAGGGTCCCGCAACGCCCTGCAGGAGCTCTACAACCCCACACAGGTAGGACCACACGCTGCCTTCACTGCTCTCTCCTCATGTCCGGCCTCATCTGTTCTCCTGTTTGTACTCACCCAGCTGTCAGAGTTCTGACCCAACAGGCCGTCAGAGGCCTCCGCTAGCTTCAGTTTAGCATTTGTGTTCTGGCCTGCCTGTGTGCAAGGATTGCTGCTCAGTCTTCATTGCCCGTGACATGCATGGGTACCTGAAGTGACAGCAGTCTGAGCGGCTGTGAAAACTCCAGAGGACAGAATTAGCATTATGGACACTGATGATCTTTGGTCTGCTGGTCGGGGCCTCGTGGCAATAAAGCCATCTTCGGTCTTTCAGGAATGAGAGCCGACAACAAGGGACCAAAAAAAGGACGGAGGTTTTGTTCAAGCTGAACAATGACATAGAGGAGAGAAAGCGCCGCTGCAGTAAAGAGTCTGGAATCAGCAGGTTGCTCCTCACATGTCTCCATAATTATGTGCCGCTGTGCCGCCGCTGTCTGTTGCAGTCAGCGAAGCCTCACTTCATTTAGCGTTTTACAATTTAGATTTAAAGAGCCTCACAAGATGGCAGCCGTTGAGAACACGACACCTGCTATAACGATGTGACTGCTGGCATGAAATTAAAGCATATTATAGGATGCTGTTTTAATGACTTTGGTGTTTTATTGGGCAGTTTACGGTGAAGAGAGACGGAGGGAGGAAATGGAGATGGTGACAAAGGTCTTAGCTGCTGAGTTAGCACAGCAGCCTCCGTTCATAGTTACTACTGCAGCCGCACTGGGCAGGATTTTATGTACAAAACTCGACCACATTAACACCTTTATGAGGGTTAGGGTGAGAAGCCGTGTTATAGGTTTGATCAAAATTCAAAAAGTTTCTGATTTCTAAGTGATCTTAAAGAACTGTGTCAGTGATGCTGTTCCTAGCACAGTGTTTCTCAGTCGCTTTGGAATCAAATCATCCTCGACAATTGCAAAACAGTCAGTGCATTTCTCAAAAGAATTCATACGAATAGCAAAACACCTGCAGAAGGCAGGTACTGCTGATGTAAACGATGGATAAAGTTTTGATGACAGTTATTATAAACTGTGAGTTACACCGTAGTGCATGTGGGAGACTGATTGCAAGAGAGTGGACAAGATTCACATTTACTGTTTGTACTGTAATTAGTAGACAGACCATGTCACTGCGATACAGAAAGGAAGAGACAGAACTGCACAGCACAAAGACAAAAACAAAAGTAGAAATGTGTACATAGGACAGCCTCCTTAGAGAAAAGTGTACATGCAGTGCTGTAGGAGTTACAGTGCAGTCTACTATATACCTGCCAGTTGATGGTTCATGAGCTGCACCTTGGAGCTATTTCAGAAAACTGATTGATCATGGGCTGATCTATGTAATGCTGCACACACTTCCCTTCATTAGAGAAAGTCAGGATTCACCTGGGAGCAACTTGCCAATTCAGGACACATTTAGAAAAACAGTCTAATTGAAATGTACAGAAATATGCTTCACATATGATGACTACTTGTTCAACCATTTTGCATGTAAAGAGATGAACTAATGCCTACATGTTGTGGGGGTAAGACTGTTCAACAGAGACCCATGATAATACATTCTGATCAACATGACATAAGCTGTTGGTAATGTAGGAAACAGCAGAGAGTTGAACATAATCATTGATGTACTAAAGCATTTAGAACTTGTTCAAAGAAATGAGAAACTGATTTTTTGATGTGCACAAGTGACACGATGATGTGAAGACTGAACAAGTAGTTTTCAGAATTTCAGTTCTGATCTGGGGCTGCAAGGTGGTACAGTTAGTAGCACTGTTGCCTCGCAGCAAGAAGGTCGCCGGTTCG